AAAAAAGGAAAATCGGTTTATACTCACCTGTTCCAGAAGTATGTAAGAATAGGGGAGAAAGTAATACCTAGGGGTTTTAACTAAATCACACTTGCTAGAACCAGCCAGCAAGCATGGACCTCCTTGGCTGCAGTCCAAGAGATCTTAAAGTAGACAAAAGGGATTGTTGGATAGAAAGCTGGATCTTAGGGGTAGTAAAGAAGACAGAGGACGTTGAGAAGGGATGTGGCTAGAAAAGACCTAGGATTTGGCCTTTACTTTTATAGTTGAATCTCCAGGTGGGTGGCACCTTGCCAAATTGTAATCCCACCTATTTACAAGTCCATCCCATGACCTCCCTCATTGGTGCATGTAGAAAGGGGCTGGTATTCTATGGGTTGGGCCAATATTTGAAACTCTACACTCTATCTCATGGAACACCATCTGGCCAGGTGGGAAGTCTCGGCTTCCTGTGCCCTCGTTGAAGTACAGATGAATCTTGGCTTTACCAGGCGAACAAGGTACCATCAACAGGAAATGGCAATTCAAATGCAGATCAGGTCCATGTTCTGCTTGACATCTAGTCTCTTCAGCAATGGGGGAATTTCTTCTTCTTGGTTGTTGCCTCTGCTCACAATGGCTAACATGTGCTTCTCCTTCCCATAAGGCTTTGAGCTGAATGTGTGCAAACTACATTAACATGAAATGCAGGCAAGTGTTCCCTATGTGAAAGCTCTCACAGTAGGTGATGCAAACAGCTTCCTCTAGGCCTATGGCATACAGGTGTGTGCACAGTCCATGTGTTGCATGTGTAAGCAGATATAAAACCATAAATTAGTCCATTTCTCAACACATAGCTAAACATAACCCTAGATTTTTGTTGTATTGTTTTAGCTACGAACTTCCTCGAGCAGATTCAGGATAATTAATTGCTGTGGCATGCATGCCACGGTCATGGTGAGGACCGGGATCCGGCACTCCTGCTTTTTCTTAAACACACTGTCAGAGAGCCAGCAGAAGATTTTCCTGGCACCAGGAGCTCGCTTTGTCACATTCTGATATTAATTGTATTTACAGGACCCAAGGCACAATAAAATATCAAAGTAACTATTTACAGAATGAAGATTCAGTGTTAGAGGGAGAGAAACTGTACTCTTCAGCCAGATCCCTTAATATTAAGCACAACCCATTTCAAGTGATGATGTCCTCAGTGTTTAATCTTTTGTACACTGGATGCACACCACTGCTCTTCTATTTAGAGTGAAGGGCACACCAGAGCATTTATGGAATCTGAATCATAAATAATCCACAAAATAATTTATTCACATATTCTTGCAGACATTTTGTCAAATGCCTGCATCTGCTGTGTGGTAAAAATCCACTTGCAGGTTCAAGGAGGGTAGAGGATGAGGTGTTAGAAGGAATAAACACAATACAACCATCCTTTGGTGAAATATATGGCCACAGCCTATTTTATTTTCATACAGGCAGCCCCATAGCTATGGCTTTTGGGGGGAGGGGGCCTTGGGGGGTGATGCAGCTCATTAAATCAAAGTTAATTACATTAATTCACTTTGGAGTCAGCCTGGGGGGGGAGGGCCCTAGAAGAAATGGGCCCCGCATTAGCTACGGGCCTGCAAGGGGCAATGGCGCAGCATGGGGACAGATCCAAGCAACAGGCAACCCGCCTGCTTCCTGATGGAACCCCTACCCAGCCCGTCTGCTGGGAGACCAACCATGGAGTGACAAGATCCTGGGACACATACAGGCGCCAGCCCCTACCTGGTCCCCTTGCCACCTGGTGGGGGAAGCCAGCCAACAGCGCACGCCTGGGCATGGGGCTGAGTGGCTCCACCTCCCAAGGCCCCTTATGGGAGCCCCCAAATTGGGAGAGGCAGGCACGCAGGCATGGCCTTCTCCCAAAAGGATTCATCCCAATGCCCAAACCGCTAAGCTGTGAGAGCAAACAACAGACCAGAGAAACATTGTAATACAACCAAATCAAGGGAGGGTGGGTGGGCAAGCTGGTGATCCGAGGAGAAGAAGAGGAGGACAGCCTGCACGGGTGTGTTTAAATAGCCCGCCTTGCATTTACAGGCTGCCCTGCACTCAGACACAACGTCTGACGTGGCAGTCTGAGGGTGAACTGGCCCGCCCCCTCCTAGCATCACCGGAAGGCACCATGCGGAAAGAGGATGCCTTCCTACCCCCTACCCCTCCTCCTGCTTTGCGAATGCCAACGGAAGGTGAGTCATAGGGTGCGTTCAGGCAGCTCTTTAGATCCGCGTGAGGCATGGGTGCCTCATGGATTTAAATGTAATGTCCAGACATCAACATCTGGGAAACGTCCATCTTCCGTGAGCATCCCGTTTTGCTGTGCCTCGGAGCCATACTAAAAAGATGCTACTTTAAATCTGGAGTTTTCGGTTCCGACGGGCCACTCGCGGACTTTCCTCTGTCTGATCATTCCAGCATGCCGTTTTTTTAAAAAAATCTTGATTCTGCGCATGCGCACTTAAACAAGGCTGTGATACCATGCCTATGCGCATGTGCAAAAAGTTTAAAAAACGAAACAAAACACCATGCGTGCCTCCTTCAGTGGACGCTGCCTAGACAATCCACAGCGGAAGCAGCGCGTGGTAAGGCGATTCCCCCGGGGGAGGTCTGGTCATGCGAGGATGGATTAAAAAGATCAGGATCAAATTTGAACTGGCATAATGTTGGGATTAGCTGTCCATCTGAACGCACCCATAGCTGTGCTTGTCAGGGTAATACAAATAACCAAGTTACCCTGGGATCAGAGAACTCGGCCATTTGTGTGTATGTGTTGTGTAGTGTTTCTGAAAACGAATTATGTTCACTGCCCTTGTAACAATACGAGGAATTAACTCTCAAAGAAAACCAATCTTGCACGCTCAAAATGTAATTTTTCCTGTAGAACGTCTTTCAGAGTAGTTGAAACTTTGGACCACCGCACCATTCGTTACCGCTCATTATCTTCCTCTCTGTTTAGGGGGGCCTCCCCGTTCCTTCTCTTTTGTCCGTCACTCTGACAAATGCCTCTGGTAAAGAGTTTACAAAGAGCTATACTGTTAAAAAAGAGTTAATGTTTGAAGGAGAGGTAGGGTAGTTTGTGAGAAGAAGCTGGGGGTGTGGTTGATTAGGGCTGCCAAGGGTGGGGACCCACTTCTCTCAGTTCCTGTTTCCTGCTGCCGCTCTGAGTGGTGGCAGGAGGAGAATATACCCCAAGTGGCTATCGTTTTCCCCAGAAGTGACATCACAACATTGGACAAACAGTGCCCTTCCCATGTCCATGCCCAGTTACTTGCAGGAAGCTAGGCTATACCTGGCCCTTCATAAAGATGGCTCCTGTAGGTGTTGCAACTGGAGCCTCTAGGGCCAGGTTGTATGTATGCAAATAAAACCCGTTCAGTTCCTCGACAAGCACCTGGGATCAGTTTTGTGTGGCACTTGGAGGGAATTTCCCAAATCCTCCTTACAACACTGCCCATCCTGGTCAGCCATGGGAGCCTGCCTGCCTGCCTGCTTCCTGGTCTCCTTCTGAAATCTTGTGTCCCAGTAGGGAGCCTAGTTTTCTAACCCAGATGGAAAAGGAGGTGGGGACTTTGCGTCACCTCATGTCACAGATGATACATTACTGATATTCAATTGCGCCATAAGTCCACATGCTATGGCACAGATCCATTGGCGTTTCCTGGATCATAAATCGAAGGGATCTTCAAGAACGTGGGTGAACAGCACCTGCATCACTTCATGCAAATTGATGGGCAGGTTTAAATATCAACACCTTAGAAGGCATCATATCAGTCAGCACAAGAATAATCTCCACAGGAGTAAGGTAAGTTTCATGCAGACTCTTCCCTTTCGTACAGAGTGTGGAAGGATATTTTTTTTAAGATGTATTTGTCGTGTTAGCAAAACTGTCATGTCATATGAGGTTTGTTCCCTGAGATCAGGCATTTTTGTACTACAAAGAGACCAATTGTACTCTAAGACTAGCTTGGAAAACAGAATATTCCTTAAAGCGCACATACACAGTCAGTGTGCTTTCAAAATTCTTTCTAGATCTTCAATGGCTGGCATGTTTCATCTATAGTCTTGTCGTGTCAGGGTCTCAGAGGCTTGGGGGCACCGTGTCAGACTTCAGTTGGGGGTGGACATGACCCAGCAAAGTCGAAAGGTTTTCTTTTAGATATCTTCAAGACTCAACTGCAACCCCCCACACAAACACATTTTAGCAGCTCTAGTTGTGGTTCTTTTTCTTAATCTTACAGGAAAACACATTCATTCTAGTTTTAATTTTTAGAATTTATTAAAAGAAACTAACGACAAAAGGAAATAAACCTCTTTACATCATAGAAAATGGGCATCCTTTATCAACATAGGGCAATCATGGATTTAATTCAGCCTAATCTATTGCCCAGAGCTGCGGTGGCTCAAGTGGTTAAGACGCTGAACTGCAGGCTGTGGAAGGTCAGTAGTTCAGCAGTTCAAGACCCGAGTGTGCCACATGACGGAGTGAGCTCCCATCTCTAGTTCCAGCTCCTGCCAACCTAGCAGTTCGAAAGCAAGAAAATTGCAAGTAGATAAATAGGTACCACTTCGGTGGGAAGGTAACAGCGTTCCGTGTGCCTTGGTGTTTAGTCATGCCGGCCACAGGACCACGGAAACGTCTTCGGACAGCGCTGGCTCTTCGGCTTTGAAACGGAGGTGAGCACCCCAACCCTAGAGTCGGATTCGACTGGCTTTCGAGCAAGGGAACCTTTACCTTTACTAATCTATTGCCCATGGGGTCATGAAATTAAGCAAACTTCGGAGGAGGATGGCGGAAGACAGGAGGGTCTGGTGTGATGCGGCCCATGGGGCTGTGAAGAGTTGGACTCGACTGTGCGACTGAACAACAATCAATCTATTGCCAGTTCTATTCTTTGTATAGCCTGAGACCACAGTAGGTCTAATCCTAATGTGTCTCTGCTTTTCTGGTATGCTGTCAATCTCACAAGGGTATAGGTCTCCTTTATTTTCAACAACCAGTCCTGTAATTTAGATTTTGTTGTTGTTGTTGTTGTTTCCATTTCCTTGCAAAGCCCAGCCTGGCAGCAGTAATCATGAATTAGGCAACCATTAGGTCAGTAGGGATATTAGGGATTTCACTAGGGATAGTAGGTAGATAATTGAACTGCTGTGTCTCTGCCTTGTAAGGTATCTGTTTTGTCATTTTTAAAGTAAGGGAGGCCTCTGGTATACATGTTCAGTAAATGGGTACATCTGCTTCTTCATGACAATGTTGACTCCATGTTTAAAACCAGGAAACTATTGAAAACTTTGAAAAACAATTATATGTAGAACTCAAGCACAGGTCGGAAGCTGGAGACAGTGGTCGAATCTGCATTTGCATTTTAAAATCAGTTTCGTGCTGCTGTGACGCCGTCTTTCTCTATGCTTGTTTGAAAGTTGTTTGGAGAAGATTCATTTAAAGCGGTGCAGAGGTGCAATGACAATGGAGCCGCCACGAGAGGGCGATAAACATATGCAGACAGGCAAATTTATACTCGCACAGTTGAAGTGCGAAAACGAAAGCAAATGTAGACAGTTTTTTAGACGATGGAGTCAGAAGGCTGGGGCACCGGTGGGAAAGACAAATGCAGATTCAACCAGTGTCTCCTTCCACTAACCCACTGTAAGTAACACTTTGTTCCTCTGTATAATAGATCTCTGCGTTTCCTAAAAGAAATGGCAAGCAGAGCAGTAATAGTTTTAATTAATTAATTAGAATATTTCCATGCCACCTCTTCAGAGTGCCGCTTGAGACACCTTACAATTAAAAAACACAATATTAAAAAAGCTATTAAAACTATCCTTTGCACATAAGCAGCAAAGAAGGAATCCATTAGACAGAAGCAGACCATTCAAAAGCTGATAAGACACAACCCCTAATTAAAAGCCCGGGTGAAAACAGATGTAGAAGCAGTAGAATTTATTATGGTTGCTAGACCAGCCACATGCATATAGTTATAACAAGTTTTTACAAGCATACAGAATACAAAATATACAAAAATAAAAGCTATGAATTTGGAACCTATTTAAAATACAGTTTCTGTAACCTCTGTATCAGTGCACAAAATCTAGCTACTTGATAAGTGATCTTAGAGTTCTTATCAGATAAAAGGCAGTCAAGCCTGGCTTTGTTTGTACAACCAGGAAGCTTATCCAGCAATGGAGTAATAATCTTCAAACGGGCCTCCTTATAATACGGGCAACTAAAGAACATATGATCCATGGACTCGACCTCCCTTAATGGGCATGTAGACAATCTTTCTAGGTAGGGGAATTTCTTGTACCTGCCTTCAAGCACTGCAGAGGGGAGTGCAGAACTCCTTGCCAGGGTGAACACCCTTCTAAAACCATTTATTTCCAAAGAAATCAGATAAGCTGCCGGCACAACAGCATATTTGACATTGCAATAAGGTTAGGTACACTAGAAATGTCGAAAACAGATACATTTTAGCCTGGTGCCTAAAAGACAGTAACGTAGGTGCCAGGTGAGCCTCAGTGGGGAGGGTGTTCCAAAGGTGAAGTGCCACCACAGAAAATGTCCTGTCTGCCGTCACCACCTGCCTCACCTTTGAAGGAAGGGGGCACACAGCGGAGGGGTCAGATCTTAACTCGTGGGTTGGATAGTAAGGGAGGAGATGGTAGATGGTCCTTTGGTCCCCACTGTGGAGAAAGACTGTCATTTTCCTAGGGAGAGGCTGTGGGGGAGGAGGGTGGAGATGGAAAGGTGAAGACAGAGGCAGATAAAGGTAGGTTGGTTGTTGGGTGGGAAGGAAATAGGGTTGGGAAATTCCTGGACATTTGAGGGGTGGAGGGTGGGATTTGAGGAAGGGAGGAACTTCAGGCCGGTATAGTCCCATAGACTCCACTCTCCAAACCAGCCATTTCCTCCACAAGAACTACCATTGCCAGCCTCCAGGTGAGGGCTGGAGATCACTGAGAATTACAACTGCTGTCCAGGTGACAGAGATCACCCTGGATAAAATGGCTTATTTGGAGGGTTGAGTCTATGGCATTATACCTTGCTGCCCAAACCTCACTGTCCCAAGGTTTCATCCCCAAATCCCCAGAAATGTCCTAACCTGGAGCTGGCAGACCTAAGGCAACTTGATCTCTGTAGCTGGGCAATCCGTTGTGATTTCTAGAGAGGTGCCACTGCTGCTGTGGGGGGAGAGGAAGCAGGTGGGTGGCTGGGAGCACTGCCACTGCTGCTGCTGTGCGGGGTGAGACGAAGCAGGCAGGAGGCTGGGAGAGTGATGGGGGCAGAAAGAGAGAGTGATGGGGTGGGGGCAGAAAGAGAGAGAAAGAGTGATGAGGCGAGGGACAGAAAATGAGAATGACAAGGGGGCAGAAAGAGAGAAGAAGTAACATGCATGGAGGAGAGATGGAGGGTAAGAAAAGGGGGGCAGAAGGAAGAGTGTGAGAGAGGTAGGGGGAGAGGGGAGGAAGCAAAGGTGTGAGGAATGGGATAATCACCTCACAAATTTCTTGTGGGTCCCCACTTGTACTACTATAATATTGATGGTGCCAGTTAAGACAGTATCATGGGATTAGTTTTGATGGCTAGATGCATTTATCTTGGGTCTAAAGGACAATTCTTCAGCAACAATCCTGAACTCTATTTCCACATCCTAAATGTGTGCCTGTAAGCTTCCTGATTAAAAACATAGGAAAGGTTCATGAGTACCGACATAGTTAAAGGTTGCAGTTACATGAAGGAGACATATGACATTCTTTTCATTGTCATGAATACAATGGATTTTACATACTATGTTTTATTACTACATGTCAAGAGAGAATGTTAAAATGAGAAACGAATGCTACCCTCTGCTTATGTCTACGAATATTATGCAAACAGTACTTCCAGTTTTGAGCAAGGTACTAAAAGACTATGGCCCCTGATCAACTTCTAGTCCAGAATAACTAGTTGCACACCCAAACTGGTTATCTTCCAGCCAATCGAAAGAAACATCCAGATTTGCTTTCTCAAGAGAAAACCACCATCCAGCAAAAAAAAAATCTGCTGACAAATTCTTATGCAAGTCAAGGCTGCATATGTGAACATTGTCTGTCTTCTGAGCTGTGGACACATCTCAAACAGGGGCCCTTTGTGTCATAAAGTGTCAAAACAAGTTCCAAGAATCACGCTTTTGACACTTCTAAGCATAAGATTCACGCTTCTTCCAGTAGCAAAGGGGGAAGGGTTCTGACTGTAACCATTCCTGCGCATCAGCTGTGCATGGAGAAGTCTGCCTAAAGATGGTAGTCTCCCCAGATAGACTGGAGCATAAGCTGTCAGTCGTAGATGGATCATACAAGCATCTGTAGCATAAATTCACTGTGCTAGAACAGGCTGACTAGATTTTGGGTGTTTCTGTAATATGTGCAGGCCTGTAGCTATAGTGGGGCATTTGGGGGCCTGGCCCCCCATGACTTCCTGCCAAGCCCCCCAATTTCCCTCCAGCTCAGGCTCCCTGATTCTCTGAGCCTCCTGGAGGACTCCCCCCACTGCCGCTGCCCCTTCCCCAAGTGGGGCTTGCTTGAAGCGACTTCCTCGCATGCCAGCAACCCACCCAACCCCATCCCAGGCTGGCAGTTGGGAAGAGGGAAGGGGATGTGGGTCCTGAGCAAGCAGCCCAGCTGCACTCGCCTTAGCTGGCTGGTAGCTCTCAGAGCAGGCAAGCGCACTGGTGCGCTCCTCCACTGCCTCGCCTCACTGCCTGCCTGCCTTCCCGGGGGGGGGGGAAGGGGCAGTTAATTTAATTAGCTTTAATTTAATCAACT